AGCTAGTCTGTGATAGATCGGAAGGAATGATGGAAGGGATGGCTTTCAGGCAGCATTTGCAACATGTACAAATGTGCAGGAGCACAAAAGATGCACTACGCTTGTCATTCAATTTTATTGAAAGATTAGATGCATTTTATAAAATGACTGTTGAAGGGTGAGCTGAGATCAGCCTGAGGAGACCCTAGAATGCTCAGAGGGACTCTTCTGCTAATGGTGCAGTTTTACAGGGTGGTTGACACTGAGAACCCTTTAAAGACTTTGGGGCAGATTCAAGAATGCCAAATGCAAGATTAATCTAAGGTCAATGTAACATAAAACAATATAAAAGATCTATCAGAACTGCTCAACAAAGCTTAGGAAGACACACCACCTATTCTACCCATACCGAGATGCGTTTTGTAATAACTTTTAGATGATTGAATGACACTCCACTTGAGAAAGAGCTTGATAGAGAATGTTGAAATAAGAACACATCAGAGATAACTAGACACAGAAACAAACAAACAAAAAAGTGATCTAAACTAGGGATTTCTAACCTAATATCTAAATACCCCTGGCCTTTTGAAAGTTCATAGTCTCATAATATTATATAAAATATTTTGAGTGAATTATTATTTGTCTGGGGAAAATGGTCTAATAATTTTTATAAGGTTCTCAGTGGAGGCTAAAAGCACCCCAACCTTAAGGATCACTTAGGATAGTGTGAAAAGGAGAAGGTAACTGTGAAAATGGTAATCTACAATAATAAAAGCATAATATGCAAATAAACCAAATGAGCTGAAACCAGTTTGGCTCAGTGGATAGAGCGTAGGCTTGCGGACTGAAAGGTCCCAGATTTGGTTCTATTATAGTTAAGGGCATGTACTTTAGTTGTGGGCACATTCCTAGTAGGGGGTATGCAAGAAGCAGCTGATCGATGATTCTCTCTCATTGCTGTTTCTAACTCTCTACCCCTCTTTCTTCTTCTCTGTAAAAAATCAATAAAAAATATATTTAAAAAAATAGAAAAATAAATAAACCAAATGACCAAACAGCAGAATGACCATCCGGACATCCTTCTGGATGACCATGCTATGACACCCACTGGCACCAGGCCAGCCAAGGCAGGTGTGATGCAATTGGTCAGGGACCTAGCCATCTACCCATGATCACCCTGCAAAGCGAAGCCCAGGCCACCGACCAGCAGGGTGATTGATCAATCAGGGACTCCATGATCACCCCAAAGAGGGAGGCTCAGGCTACCCCACAGCAGCTCTGCAGGGGTAGCCTGGGCCTGCCTCTGGTGATCCATTGTAGAGCCCCAGCTGGGTGGGCAGGGCCTACCTCTTTGGGGTGATAGATCACGGGGCTCCTGTGAGAGAGCATGGGCTGGGCTGAGGAACCTCCCTTCCATTGCACATATTTTATGCACTGAGCCTCTAGTAACTATATAATTAAGAGAATACAATGACTGAGTAAATTGCATGTGGATGCAAATTGTGGCAAGGAAGAAAGAAGATAACACTATTTCTTACCATTTGACACTGGAACGATGAGAATCATGAGAATCCTTTTGTGAAGCAGCATCAGACCCCGCTTGGCTTCTGTTTCAGTTGATGGAACTTTGATAGCAGGCATAGTGGACTCATGGTGGAAATGTGCCATGCAGAGATGTCAGACAAGAAATGAGAAATTAGGGGGTAACTGTATAGTTTTGATGATTCTTAAGGAACCTTAGTGGAATACTTTGAAGCCAGAAGCCTAGGCTGCTTCTATCTTTTTTCTCTCTTCACATGACGTCTGTTTCCCAGGTTCTCTTAGGATGATTATGGGAGCTCCACCATCTTGTTTGCTTTCAGTCAGTAGGAATAAGAAGACAAAACAAGGACACTGCATCTCCTTTTAAAGTTCACTATGCCCTCAAAACCAAATACATTTTGGGGGGAGTGGGTGCATGGAAATGTAGAGTGGGTGCATGGAAATGTAGACTTTATTTTGGATATTCATTCACTCAGTGAAGGATCAGAGGAAGAGGAGGTGGATAGATATAGCAGAAAAACTAGAAATATCTGTCCTAGTGAACATAAACAATTTTGAAGCATTAAATAATGAAAGAAAAATAAATTTTATTAATCATTAAAGAGAAAATATATATATATATATAAATGTCTCCATACATAGAAACATTTTATCTCAATCCTTAGTCAAAATAATGTATTTTATTAGGGATAGGGAGATATTTATTCATAACATATTTTTTATGAAAACATATCATAAAACTCCTATCCTCTTTAAGTGAGTTATATTCTGAAAATACTAGATTTTTTCTATTTATTATACAATTGGAAAAATAGTATTACTAGTTATAAATAGAATTAAATCTACTAGTTTCAATTCACCTCCAGCCAATTTAATGTATTTTATATTATTTTAAAGAAAACTAGATTTTGTTACAAACTATATTAAACTATTCACAGTGACAACAAGTGTTAGTCTTATAAAATTAGAAATTCCAGACAATTAGAAAACAAAAAAATTTATTAATTGTATCACTAAGAAAATAAATCTTGCTATGATATATATCTAATAAAATAATAATGTGCAAATTGACCATCACTCCAACACACAAAATGGTTGCCCCCACGTGGTCAAAGATGGCTGCCCCCATGTGGACACAAGATGGCTGCCATAAGATGGCCAGCAGGGGAGGACATTTTGGGAGGGACCAGGCCTGCAATGGAGGGCAGCTGTGGGAGATGAAGCCTGCAGGGGAGGGCAGTTAGAAGTGACCAGGCTGGCAGAGGAGGGAAGTTGGGGGCAACTGGGCCTGCAGGCAAGGGCAGTTGTGGAGGGACCTAGTCCTGCAGGGGAAAGCAGGTGGGGGGAATAGGCCTGCAGGGGAGGGCAGTTAAAGGTGGCCAGGTCTGTAGGAGAGGGCAGTTAGAGGTGACCAGGCATGCAGGGGAGGGCTGTAAGGGCAATCAGGCTGGCAGGGTAGCAGTTAGGCATCAATAAGGCTGGCAGGGGAGTGGTTAGGGGTTGATCAGGCTGCAAGCAGAAACAGATAGGGACAATCAGGAAGGAAAGCAGGTGAGCAGTTGGGAACCAACAGTCCAGGATTGTGAGAGGGATGTTCGGGTGCCCATTTAGGCCTGATGCTATAGGGCCACTCAGTGTGTGTGTGTGTGTGTGTGTTTGTGTGTGTGTGTGTGTGTGTGTGTGTGTGTATTAGAGGCCTGGTGCATGAATTCATGCGTGAGTGAGCTCTGGCCAGCCTGGCCATGGAGAGAGGACATGGGCAGTTGGCTGGCCTGCCTGCTGGTCAAACTCCTGGTCTAGGGGACAATTTGCATATTAGCCTTTTATTGTATAGAATATACACTGAGTGGCCAGATTATTATGCATTCAGAAATCATAATAATCTGGCTACTCAGTATATATATTTAATTACAATGTTCTGCATGGCAGGGGGTGGTGTCCCTCAGCCCAGCCTGCCCACTCTCCAATCTGGGACCCCTTGAAGAATGTCCAACTGCCCAATGAAAAAATATTCATATTTTCTCTCCCTTTCTCTGTCTCTAATTCACACACACACACACACACACACACACACACACACACACACTATTTTCATAATTATTTGTAACTTGCTTTATAATTGTTAAATGCCAAATGAACACTTACTTATATATTATCATTTTAGCCTATACTCATCATGCTATTGTTTGAGTATAATTTGTTTAACTATCTATTCACAGCTGTAAATTGAGTTTCTTATTAGCCTTTTAGTTCTTAATATAAATATAATTCTTATGAAAAATCTACCTTTATATAATTATGTTTAATGATTCCCTTGGGATAGCAATTGAGACAGATAAATATGGCCTGAATGAAGGTGATGGCAGTAGAAATGGAGAGAAAATGAGGGATTAATGAAATATTTAGAATATATAATCGACAGACTCAAGTTATTAACTCTACAGTGAAATATTTGGAAAATTTCAACAAATTCCCTGAATTATGCTTATTGCTTTATTTTTCTCTGTTCATGTGATCAATGGCATTTAGTATTGCTTTAGTATGAAGGTAAACACAATCAAGAACAGAGTTAATAGAAGATTTAAGGCTTAGACTGTATTTTTAAACTTACAGTGAGTACAGTAAGCTAAAGCAAACTGTTGCAATTTGGAAGAGGCGGGCTCTTAAAAGGGAAATGGTTTTATTTTTGTATTCTAAAGGGCATGGCCAGAAATATTAACCTGATGCTAGAGACGTGGATCATAGAATACATAAAAATTAATCATAAAGTAGAAAAAGGTTTAGGACAGAAGGTTGAAGTAGTTGCCCATCATGCAGGACAGCATGAAACTTTCTAAGCTGTGGTCAGTGAGGAGCCTAGAATGGGAGAGGGAGGGGGAGCAAATTGGATTTACATAAAAAGCATCTCATAGTCTATTCCTAGGGTTGCAACTCTGGGGGAAGGAAGTGGGTAAGAGATTCCTGTTGATTAGTATGAAGACATAAGGGCCAAGATAAACCACCCATCTGGAACCATACAGGGAGTTAGCTTTGTAGATACTTAAAGGAATAGCAGCAGGGGGAAACCACAGTCTAAACAAGTACCCTTCCACTCCAATCCTCAACCCATCACTTTCCCCAAGAAATCCTTCATTGCCCAAACCAGTTTGGCTCAGTGGATAGAGCATCGATCTGCAGACTGAAGGGTCCCAGATTGGATTCTGGTCAAGGGCATGTACATTGGTTGCAGGCACATCCCCAGTGGGGGGATGTGCAGGAGGCATCTGGTCTGTGTTTCTAACTCTCTATTTCTCTCCCTTCCTCTCTGTAAGAAATTAATAAAATATATTTTAAAAAAAGGATGTCCTTCAGCGGGGCATAGGAGAGATCAGGAAAAGTTTCCTCCTTGTTTAAAGGCATCACGGAGGTAGCTGGAGACAGGTGGTGAATATCTTGAAGTTCCAGAGTATCCACAACAGCAGCTAGAACAAAGGGTAGAGTTTTTAATCAGCAAGGCTTTGCTTTTTCTTCTTCTGTCTTAGTCCTCTGTAGACACACCTATTTATTTATTCACTCAGTCAACAAATACTTTGAATATCTTCCGTATGGCAAGCAGATTATTTTAACCTGGACATTTAGCTTTCATTTGTAAACTTAGTTTCCACTACAATTTATTTTCTTGCATTTGTTTCATGTTAATTGAACAAATCAATGTCTTTATACTAAGTGGAGCATCTGCTTCGAAGGATTCTTACTTTGGATGGATGTTAGGATTACAAATAGAAAAAGCATTCACCCACACACAAACACACCTACCCACCAAAAAAAAAAAAAAGTAAAGATACTATAGAAAATGTGTAATTAAATAGTTTAGAAAGACTGTGCTCTGTAAAATCATGGCACATCTCTGCAAAATCATTGAGTAAAAGAACAGCGTGAGAAGAACAGTATTAGTATCATTTATTTGTTAAATACTCCTAATATCTTTTCTGGGGATTCAAGTGGAACAGAGAATCCAGAGAAATCTGGTGCTTTGCATCATTATTAAGCTCATATTTGCAAGTTAATCATGTGTGATAAGGCTGGAATGTAAAAGCATTTGAATCAATAGCTCCTTCAGATGCTTTTCTGATAAAATTGCTTCATTTTCTTTTCTAACTAATTAATTCACGCAAGTGGAAAGATTAAGAGAAAAACTTATTTATATGAAGAGTAACAGAATCCGGTGTTTTGCCATATATTATTGGCATCTTGGCAACCAATAAGACCCTTTTAATAATCAGATCTCTGAAACATCTGTTTTAGAAAGGGATATACACTTTCTGGCTTCCCTTTATTTGAATTAAGTAAAAGTCAAGGGCAGAGGTTAAGTTACTTCTACCTGGAAATTAATCAGAAAATTCATTTTACCCTTTGATCTTTTCCTGTTCCTTTTGCCTGCTCCCCACACCCACTTTTATCTTCTTAAAATTATGAAGTTTCCTTTTATGTATTACAGTTGTTTAAAATAATTTGAAGCTGTGGATTGCTATTGTTACATAATTATATACTGAAAACGTAATAGAGTATAACAAAATGTTTTTAAAAGATGTGAAATCTTAAAGAAAATTCAAAGACATCATAAGTTACTTTAATATATTGCCAAATTTCAGGCTGCAGTCTTAGTGATATTTCTGCTAAAAGAAACCTACTTTCCATTTTGTGTTTTCTCATTTGCATTACTGCAAAGTTATTCATGCACATGAAAAGGATATTATTCATCTTCATATTCTTTCCTCTCCATATTCCAAACCCAATGTGTTTATGAGTTATACATAAAAAACACTGCTATATCTACATATTTATGCATATCTAGGTGGTTAAAATTTGGCATTATGACTGGATAGCAAGCCCAAGTGATAACATTATGCATTAGATGTTTCTTATTACTTCATTAATAGCATATCAAAATTGTCAAATACCTTGAAATCCAGTAATTGTAACTGACAAGCTTTAACATGACTTGTCTCCATTGGGAAGGATTGAAGAGAGAGAGAGAAAGAGAGAGAGAGAGAGAGGAATTTACTTTTGATTTTCTTTTCTGAGAGCATATTACTGTTTGGTAAGGTCTTGTTTCTTCTGCAAACATTTTTAATGAGATGCTGTTTTTACAATATCCATGCTAAGTGATTACTGAAGTTTCTATATGCTTAAGCCATATCATCTTCCAAATTCAGAATCTCAGTGTATTCCAGAAAGAACTACAAAAATTAACTGGCAGAAAGAAAAATGACCAACCTCTCAGAGCTTATCTTCCTCTAAAGTTTCATTCTTCTTAACACACTGTTCCAGGAAATTATTTCACTTGAAAGTCTAAGCAGAGTTCAGAAAGAAAAATTGTCTCTCCCCTTCTCTCCAATTCTAATTCTACCACTTACAAAAGCAAATATTATTGTTTAATTTCCAGTAGTTTTCTCTCAAAAAATATCTCGGCATTTGGGAATAAGAGGAAATTAGGATGACAGTAAATTTCATGGACACAGAACTCATTAAGAAGATGAGGTATCAAGAATCCCCGTTCTTTGTGTCCACTTTATCTGTATTTGGGGATAGCATGGAGGAGGGGGGAGAGAGGAAGCTTATGTTTTTCTCTTTAAAATTAATTCCCAGTTAGCCATTTACTAGTGGATTATTTTTAAGCCCAGAAGACAGTGTAATTGAATTTTTCTTTTCAGGGATTGTAGTCAATACTAAAGTGAATAGACAATGGTAGGCGTGTGTTGAATAACCTGGTTTTCTAGACAGACCCCCTTGTCCAAGATCAAACGGCTACAGCACATTTAGGGTTACTGTCTCCTCTCCTTCCTCCTTATTCTCAACCGCAGTGGAGCTTTTTCCAACGTTGCCATGGTAACACTATATCTGGCTGCTAGCTCTGTCGTAAGTTATTGAACTGAGACTGGCTTTTGGTTTAGCAGATAATTAGGTTCTGTCTCACAGGTTCATTTTCCTGTGACTGGGACGTGAATATGACCTACAGCTGGCCTCAATTTCAGTGTCACAGACAAAACTTTAACCATTCTCAAGCTCTCCTAAGCCTTGCTTGGGAGGTGAAGCCCAATGCAGTTCACTCACACTTGGGAGAGAATTCCCAAGTCCCATTTTATTTTATTTTATTTTTTAATCTTCATTATAACACTAAGGAAAATATGGGCAAGGTTGTACTCTTAAGGCATATTCAAAATTAAAAATATATCAGTAATATTGTGTGAATATTTTATATAGGACACATAATATATGAGGCTAAATAGTGTCAAGCTTCTGTCATAATTTTTAAGTTACTTCAAAATATCCTAGTGTTGCACTTTGGATTCCACAGTATTTCATTTTCAAAACCCCATTCTCATGAACATTTCCTTGGTACACTTATTCTCGGCTTTGAGAACTCTGTCTATTGATTGTTCCATGCCCCTCCCGCTCATCTTTATAAACCCTAGATTTCTAGCCAACATGTAAGCTTCCTTGGGAGTCATGAGCAGGTCCATTGTACAGGGACCAATGTCGCCACTCTACTCAAATGGCCTGATATTCACTCAGGGCTTGAATCTTGCTGGTTTGGAAAACCAGCAAAGATCTTCCCTTTGTTTAGGACAAAGAAAGAAGCCTAACTTTTGGAACAGATATCAAATTCACGATACTCAGGGCAACACAGAGAGCTGTAGGGTTAATAGGAGAGCATGTGTTGTTCTACATCAAACAATACAAAGGATATTCAAGGAAATTTGTGGAAATGTTAGTGTATTTTACCTAAAACCTTACCATGAAAGGATAAAAAAAAAGAGTGAGGGGAAGTTAAGGCTGCCATAATTAAAACATGAATTAAAGAAATTCCATAGCTTAATTGGCTGGAAAATCATATCACTGTAGAGATACGGCAAATGTGTAAAAGGAAAAGAGAAAATTCTCCAGTTGTATACTAAAACCACATTTTATATCTGTGTTATGTGCACCACATAGATATCTCCTGTTTTAATCTGCTCTTTCCCTTGTCAGCTCTAGATGAGAGAGTATCTTGAATGGCAGGAGCCTTATATGTCCTGAGTGTATCCCATTGATGCAGAGAACTTAGTGGGGTGGATCAGGGTGGGGGAATTAGTATGAATTAAGAGAGAGAACCAATATGTGAGGAACCAAGTTGTCACCAGTTATTATCCACAAAACTGGGCTTCTTTTCATCTCTAGTCTCAAGTATATAAGGCCTGTTGTTCTCTTATTAATGATCAATAAATGTGTATTGAATGAATGTATGAATTTCCCTCTATTCTCTATTCTATGTACTAAGGGTTAAATTAGCACAGCATTTAAAAAGTCTATAAGCATTTTCTATCCAAATTCCATTTAATTGACTTCTCATGGTTCCCAATAATCCCCAAACCCTACATATGCTTGTCATCTCTTGCTTGAATTTTTGGAAAAGCCTCATAATTGACCTTCTACCTGCTTATTACCCACTGTCAACAATCCTATGCACAGGAGACTGAACACTAAGCAAAAATGCCAGTCAATTGAAGTGAGCACCCTCCTCACACCTTCCCAGTGGCTTTCTGTGTAATTAGAATAACACACAAAACCCCTACTGTGCTTATAAAACCCTGTATGACCTTGCCCCTGCCTACCATGTACACATCACTACTCTCCTCTTTACACTCTCCACCTCACCCTTTCTCAGCATGTCAAGCATAGGCCCACTGGAGAACCTTTGCCTTTGATAGTCACTTATTCTGGTCTCTCTTCTGAAATGGCATCTCCTTAAAGAGGCTTTCCATAAACATCTTAAAAAGCACCTCACTTATTATCCAACAGCATTTCTTCATAGTGCTTATCATGCATATATTAGAAAAGCAAAGAAGTATATGCCTTCCCACTAAAATAAAAACTCAATTTGCAGGAGCTTTGATTATTCATAGTATACCCCTACTGCCTAGAACCTAGGGTGGGGCCCTCGTAGTTTTAAATAATTTTTTGTGATTTAATAAATAAATGAATGATTAAATGAAGTGATCCCAGCAGGGGGTCTGGGTAGCCCAACCTCTGTGAGACTAGTTATGAGTGGTCCTAACATAATTAGTGAAATCTTCCCCTACATGATGAAATTGTATGAATAGACACAATAAAAGGTAAGGACCGAGTTTGTATTTCTGTGGCTTTCTTCATCAGATTAAAGTAGAACAAGGAAACTGAGCTTATTTCCACTTCACCATTGCATGAGTAAAATTCAAAATAAAGCATAACCCATATATACCAAACACATCACAATCCCAGTCATTCATGGACCACTTTTTCTGTAAAGGGCCAAACAGTACATATTTTTGGCTGTGTGGCCCACCCAGTCTATGTCACAGTAACTCAGCACTTCTGCTGTGGTATACAAGAGCCATAGACAACACATACACAAGTGGGTGTGGCTGTGTTCCAATAAATTGTTACTTATAAAGACAGGAAATCAGCCACATTTAGCACCCAGGCCATACA